GAAGGAGAGGAGACCAGACATGTGGAAGAATGCCTCATGGGTTCTTCATCACGACAACGCGCCAGCACACAACGCGCTATCTGTGAAGAGGTATTTGGCAAAAAACAACATTCCAGTGATGGAACATCCACCGTATTCTCCGGACCTAGCACCGTGCGACTTTTTTCTCTTCCCAAAAATCAAGTCTGCGCTGAAAGGGACCAGGTTCGAGTCCGTGGATGCAGTGAAAGCAAAAGCGACGCAACTCTTGAAGAGCATAACACAAGATGACCTGCAGCACTGCTTCCAACAGTGGAAAATTCGCATGGAGCGGTGTAGGGATCGGGGAGGGGACTACATTGAAGGGGATAACATTTCGACTGTCTGATTTTTTTTTAATAAAGGGTTAGAGCATGAATCCGGTTTCTTTATTGCCACACCTTGTACAGGAAAAAAAAAAAACAACACACAAAAACTATGGTGGCTGAAAAAAGAATACAATGACAGTACTCTATATATATGAGATATAAGATGATGACGACGACGTGCATGGGAGCATGAAAGACAGGTGGACAGTGCAGTGGTCTCCCCACAAATTAAAACTTGCCGATGATGGCCCATATGCGGCGAAAACATGTTGCAAAATTGAAAAAACACTATGTAAAACAAAAGACATTTTGAAGTACTCTGATAGTCCCTTTTAGTGTATAAGTTAAACTTACAGTGTATTAATGACATTTTATGATATTTAATAACATTTTAAAGTTACACTTTTAGTGAGGAATATATTTTAGGTGTTTTTTATAATTAAAAATCACTGTTGCATTATTGACGGTGTACTCCAATAATATAAGAATAATACCTCAATGCAACAGGATGCTGAAATATAACATGGATGTTGCTAGGTTACAGTGTTAAAATTCCCCACTTTTGTATCTATACTGACTACAAACTGAAGTACTGTACTGCATAATCCTGTCATTATGCTAAGCTCTTAGAAGCACTTTATTTCTGTCTGTGACCTGCGACTATTGGGTAGACTCCATACATAATATGTGCTATACTGTACTCTATCTGCACCAACAAAAATACCTCTGTAGTACTGTTACATAACCTGGGAATTAACTGATCACCTTAACAACTTAAGTCCTGAAATTGATATGATAAAAAGAAGGGCAGGAAGAATACTGTCATTTCACACCCAAAAGATGCTATGAATTATGTGAGCATAGAATGTGTAAATGTTACGGTTCAGAACAAAGAGAATTATACAGCAGATCTGGACCACCATATAAGAAATTGTGGCAATCTGTTTCATACTTCATTCTGAATGCATCTGTAGTAAACAACTCTATTCTTCTTGACCTCAAACACATATGTGTATATCAGCAGGAAGATGTAGCTCAGAGGAAATCTAGTAACATATCTGTGGACTTTCCTTCATGTGAGTTGATAGAAAATGTAGTCTATGGTGTCCTACTGCCCTCCAATAAAAAATTCCACTTCAGCTAGGCAACAGCTGAGCACATGTGAACTGGGGCAGAGTAGAATGGGAGATAATATCATATCAGGTCACACAACATATCTGTACACATTGTGATCTATCACTCTACTATGCCAGCTGTTTCTGACCTAACACCAAGAAAAGGCTTCTAAATGGGAAATTAAAGAAAAGACAGACAATGAATATTAACAGCATACAACATAACACCTTATCAGCGGTATAAAAACTTTGATTGAAATGTTAGGGGAAAATGCTGGGATACAACAAACATTTTAAAAACAATGGACTGTTTTACATTTATACCTTTAAAATTGAAATATAGATACCTAATGACATCCAGAGTGCTTGCACCACATAACTGAAATTTTAATAAAATGGCATTAAAAATGTCATAATTTATACACATTAGTGATTTGGATGGACCTCGCATTTCAAGAAACTTACGATTCTGCAGATCCATGCAAACATAAAATCAATATTCTGAGAACATAAAAATTCATGGAATAATAAACTTTGTTAGTTTTTATTCTACATCAAGTTAAATTAAAAAGAATACATATTTATTGATAAAAGTGCATTATTATTCTAAAAACACCCCAGTAACAACTCACAAATGCAAATGATCACCATTAATAAGAAAAAAGCATCAAAACAATTATATACAAATTATTATAGTTACTCATTAGCACTATATGCATTATTTGAACTCACTAGCATTTGGTGATTGATTAGATTCACTGTCCAGCTTGTTTAATGGTTCTTGATAATCCACCATGAGTTTTGTAAGCTCAGTATGTATGTCCTCATATTCATGCTGACAGTGTCCAGTCAAACAATTATATCCTAAAAAATTAAAAGACATGTACAATTCGAGGTTCTGACAAGAGTGCTCACGAGAATTTCTATCTTCTGGGATATAACACCACGTAGTCCACTGTAAATCAATCAATATTTTGGAGGCACATGTTGCCTCCCTCTTCAAGGCTGTGGAGTTAGCCAAGCATGAAACCAGCATGAAGCAGGCAACAGATATTCAATGAGCTACTCAGCATAATAACCCAAAAGACACAACTCTTCAAAGCAAAAAACAGTTTCAATTCATAAATTAATCTTTTTTCATTTCATGCATCCTGTTGTGTTATAATATACAATTTTTTTATTAAAACGGTCACAACACAACTATATTAAGGTCAGTGCCAAGTCTGGCTCTGCTACATGTTTTGGCTGCCAAAAGCGATCATCAGGCATTGTTTACATTCTCTACAGAATGGACAATATTTTGTAAGATGAAGCACCAACTAAATAATTAACATTAATATTACTACATCTACATTATGAACCTCCAAAACAGTTTACTATATATATACAAAATATAGGATACTCCAATTTGTCCGTGGGAATACAACAAAATCGCAAAAACCAACGACTGACTCGATGATGTAAAGCATCACTTGAAGAATTTTAATCTTGTTACTATAACTTTTGTTTTATACAGTCTAACTTACTGTACTTTTATGCCAAGTATTTTAATATAATTAATATTATTGTATCCAATTTTACTAGTACTGCAGTTCAGTGGTGTATATAGGTTGGCCATGTATTTGCCTGCTGATGGCTTTTGGTAGCCGAAACACATAGCAGAGTCAAACTTGGCACTGATCTTAATATAGTTGTGTTGTGACGGTTTTAATAAAGACATTAAATTAATCTATTAAGTTAATACTATGGTGGTGTGAACAGTTTAAATTAAAAACTGTAAGTTTTCAAGGTTGCTCTGATGAAAAAGCCTTGTCATATTCTGCAGACACAAAAAAAAACACACAAATGCATGCACTGCAGTGTGCATAGATAAAATATTGTAACGTGTTTACGTTACCGAAGACGNACTCGAACTCGAACTGATCGATACGCACTGTGCATCCACTTATATAGCTGCAGTGCTTGCCTGTGGCGTAATGAGTGCCACGTCACAGTAGGACGTTGATTACGGTTACGTTAGCGTTGCGCGTTACGTCACCGCGTGACTCACCGCGGAGGGGAGTGGCGGGGAGCGCTACGTTACCGTGGAGAGGAGGGTGGAGGGGGGTTCTCAGTCGCGCAACATGTTACAATATGTAACTTACAATAAAGAAAAAGCACTATGACATTTTCTTTCTTTAATGTTCATATTAAAACAGGACATAAAAGGGTGAAAATTTATAATTCAAACAGGTCACATTCTGTCACATGTTATCTTACAAAAATTTTAAGCATTAACACCAATTTGCGTAAGCACCGTTATCTGATCTTCAGTGCATTAATGAGACATCCCAAACACCAATTCTGGGTTCTGCATATAAATGTAAACAAAATCATGTTGACTCTGCGGCTTCATATCATAACTCTTTAGGTGTACATGCCATGTGTATATGAAAAAGGGCCTATTTTAATCCTTTACACTGAACATATGTAGGTGATGTTAAAAATACATTAACCTTTAATGCCCAAAGTGCCCCGTTTGTGCCAGTAATGAGTACAGTCCTCGTGGCCAAAGTACCCCGTTTTGGCCAGTCGGGCATTTAAATTCTGCTAGTGGAAGAGCATGCACACGCCACTAGTAGAAGCACATGCACGGTCCTAAATATTTATTTTTATATGTAGTAATTACCAGACAGACTTGAGTAAAACCCTAATAGAGGAATTAAAATGATACCTAAGTGAACAACAGCAAAAAGAATATATGTATGAGTTATGCTCAAACTCATCCACGAGCCAGTACTTTTATTGCAGATTCTGCAGATTGCTGTGTTAAAAATATATAGTAAAATTCGATGTACACACCTTTTTTTGTTGTTATCTGCTTGATGTATACTATATAGGCTGAGATGAAACTACAGAATTCAATGTCACTATGAACACACAGAAAACAGATCGCCTTCTGTATCTAAGACACGATACAACTGTCTGTTCACAACCATAGAAAGTGCAATAATCTCTTGCAGCTATAACAAAAGGTCTTAGCACTGAAGAAGGGACCTCTCTAGCTCTTTTTCTTGAATAGCCATTCTTTCATTCTTCTGTCCCTTAGTCAAAAGATTCGAAAATCTGAAGGGTGTATAACAAGATGTAAGGCTCCCCAGCAGAGAACCAAATGATTTTATTGCTTCCATCTGTTTTATGACACCAGGGTCTGCTAAAATTTGTCAAGTGTTACCAACAGAAATGAATTTATAATGCAGAAGAACTCTGTGAAGAACTGGGAAAATATTTTTGCAGTACGAATCAAAATTAAAAGAAAAATTGAAAAAGAGTATAATTCTTTGTATAAAAATTTTCAAATCTTCCGTTATAATATGCGAAACTATGTTCTTTGCTGATATAAGCAAAGTTAATTCCATCCATTTATCATA